AAAAAAACAACAAGTGTCTCAGTAAGGGCCACCAGAGCATCTTTAACGCTCCGTCAGATTGATTCTATAAGTCTCCAGAACGCTACAGAAGGGATAGAACACCTTACTTCTACAAGATATACCCTCATCCGGTCCAAAATCTCCCATAGGTGTTGAACTGGGTCTTGTGACTGTGCAGGGCCACAGCATGAGATTCGCCCCATTTTTATACTCAACAAACCATTAAGTCTGTAACCCCTCGTGCCCTGTGGACGGGAGCATCCGGACGGATCCCGCTACCATCAGGACAGACATGATTCTGCAATAGGATAAAGGTGATCCCTCAGAGCAACTGTGTATTGATTTGCGGTGACCTTTCCCTCTAAAGGGACAAGGGGACCCGAAACCGAAGCAGCAACTTGCCCTCCAGCAGCCCAACACAGCCGGCGGATCCCCTCACTGTAGGGATGAAGGGTTTGGGATTCTCCTTTAATTCATCGCCCGTCTCTACGTGACCTTCATGCGGCGCAGACATTCATCTTTCCAACTGACCTCTTCAAACCGAAAACAGACGGAACATTTTGAGATGAAACAAGCGGCCCACAACAGAAAGCGTTGTGTTGAGACCTCAGACAGACACCATAAGCATTATTGGTTGATGACAGATATTCAACTAATATTGTTTGATTTTTAATGCTGTCTTATGTAATATGAACCAATTTAGGTCGATAAGAGCTCCATTATTCTGGTCATTAGTTCAGCTGGTTTACCATCCAGCCCCACGACGCACATTGAAGTGCTATTGATGAATAAAATCCATAAGTTTAGGCCTGCAACTAATGATTTTTTTCATTATTACTTGTCAGTGCTTCTGTAAAATGTAAAGAACTTGTGAAAAATGAATCTCAAAGCTGATGCTTTACGCTGCATTTTTTTGTGCAGTTCAAATAATCCCACAACACGCACTTTGCTATCACACAAGACAGGAAATGCGGCAACTCCTCACAATAACGGAGCTTTAACTGGAGGAATGTTGAGCATTTTTTGTCGTAAATAGCTTTAAATTAATAATTATTTGCCAAAATAGTTGCTGATTTCTGCCAATCAGCGAATCTTTTCAGCTCCACATAATTTCCCTTTTGCATCCTGTATGAAGAGGCATAGGTTTTTACTAAACGGTGCTATCCTGCTTTTGGAATTTCACACTCTCGCAGCCACACTTCCTCACACACACATAAACAGACAAAAGGCGTCACTCCTTGCCAGACGTCAGCCGCCCGACCAACAACAGTCTCAACCCCCGGCAACAAAATCTTGTGCCAGGCTCGTTTTGATCCTCTGTCCTGCTTCACTGAGCTCGTGCGGACACGTGTACGCACACATGCACACGCACAGGCATACAAAACGAGCGGCGAGTGGCAGCGGCGTGTTCAGTGGCAATATTATTAATGGGGTGTGTCTGGGCTGTCGTAAACATCTCCCAACAGCACTCAGTGCAAACAGACGCGAGGCGACACCCCCGCATCTCTCTCCACTTAAGCAGCCTGTAGATTTCAGCTGAGCACCTCCGCCTGCCTGCAGCGACTCCACCGGTCCCCAATTCCTCCTCAGTCTCCTGTATCTCCTGACCGCAAACTGCTCTATAAATCCCGCCTGCATCCTCACAAGGATGCGAAGAACACTTCCTTCTCTCCTCCATCTTTTTTTTTTTTTTTTCCCCTGTCCCCCCTCCTTTTCTTTCCCTCCCTCACTCCATCTTCTCAGGGTGAAGGTTTGTCTTGATTAGGGGGACTCTGTTGGCTGGCTCTTTTATCACTCGCTGTGCAGAAAGGCGCAAACTGGCAGTGGGCAAATGAAAGCCCTCTATCTCCTTCTTATGCTCAACTCCCACCCTCCTCACCTCCTCGCCAGCCCTCGCTTTCTCCACCTTTGTTGTTCTTTCTCTTACTTACCTTTTTCATCTCATATTCTGTTTTTTTTCTTCCCTCCTCCTCCTCCTTCTGTGTGTTGTTTTTTTATTTTTTTCCCTCTCTCACATTTCCTGTCTGGGCCATTTCCTGCTCTGTCTTTCTATACGGTTCAGACTCATTGAGTTATTCACTCCCATCCCACTCTTCCTCGTGCAGACTGTGGGGGTGAATAGCTACTGAAGCCGGCGTGGATTCGGCGCCTGACTTTTCGTGTAGACAATAAATCAAGTAGTCATCAAACTGACCCACTCTACATACCAATGAGACCTGCTATCTCATCTTCACCATCATTAGTAATACCACAGCAGTTCCTCCTGCCTCATTTTGTCTTGTGCAGCGAAGAAAGCAGCAGATAATCTCCAGTGAACAAGGGTTGTACAGCGAGTAGGGAACGTGGGAGTGGGGTCTTTCTGAGGCTATGCTTTGATTGACAGAGAAATGGTATCAAAGTTAGCGTTTGGTCCCGAGTGGCGCCCTTACTAGCATTTATTTACTGTTTGTACATCTATTTGTGTGCCTGTCTCGGTAGAGGAAAAGAAAAAAGGCTGAGACAAATACACAAAGCACTAAAACATGCACATAAATGTACATCGCTGGGCAGGCGTGAGCGCGCATGCTCATTCGATGCCTGTAAAAAAAATAAAAACCTTCCAGTGACTAAGCTGAGTTAGGTGAGGGGTTAAATGTTTGATATATCCAATAAATGTGTTCTGCCAGCAGAAATTTTATGTCAAAGTCACCTTCAGAAGGCGTATATGTGCAGATGACATGTGACTAGAATACTGTAAAACTTGCAATAATGGCCGGAACCTTTTATTTACCTCCTCAGCGAAAGGGGGAACCAGACTTTTATTAGAGCCAGGACATAATTTCTTTTGGCAGGTCGTCAGCAGCCTTTAGTTCTGAAAGTGATATAATTTACTCCTTTATGTGTGAATGCATATCACTGCAGTGGATCCCATAACTGCTCCGGTGCTGCAACCGCTGCTGCTCGTACTTTTGCATGTATATAGGCCTATAATAACAAGGCACAGCAATCAATTACTGGATCAAAAACACAATTTATTATCGGAAATTCATCATTAGCTGTAGAACACAATGTAATTGGTCCCATAACCAAAAGTATCCGAACCTTGAAACAGAATGAAATAAGACCTCATTGACTCACTTACTGACGAACAGAAGGAATGCTGTTACGTAACCCGAGCCATTAACTTAGAAAATACTTAGAAATGAATCATGAAAATTGAATTGCTTTGATAATTAATTTTATAAAAATTCTAAAACCTGTTATCAGCATATAGAGCCAACTTTTCCAAGTTCCCACAGCTGCTACCAATACTGAAAAAAAAAAGAAGTAACTTTGCATACTACAGATATTGTCCAATGAACGTTTTAAATGTGTTTAAATACACAACCTGCAGTTCACCTGAAAACTCCCAGAATATTTGTCAGGTGACTGTTGGTCACAGCAGAATCAGTCATGGTTTTTTAGTTGTACCAAGAAGCAGAGAATTTTTTGATTTTTACACAATCTAGTCAGAACAAATGGTTTATTTTTTATAAACATTTAAAGAAATGTAGGATTAAGCGATTTTGAAAGAAATATCAGGATTTCAAGCTTGGATTTAGTTGATTTCATGCATAATTCATTAAAAGGCTGCTGGAAAGTTTCAAAACAGACAACTTGTTCTGTTGTTACAGTTTCTGAGTCTGATATATGGTGTCATGTTGGCTATTTTAAAAGGAATTAACGGATTACAAGCCACATCTTTACTTTTATCCTACATTGTTGCAGTGCTGCAGCTGCAGATGATTCCAGTGAGTTCATATCATTTTATCTCGTGACAGTTAATGTTCAGCATGAAACCCAACCAAGACAATATATTAGAGCTTTTAATAATGTGGTATTTAAATGCTTTTGACAAGCTTGCAGCGTACTGAAGTTACAGGTGTAGGAGAAGAAAGTTTAGGAGAAAACAATCTGAAATTCAACTCGCACATGTTTTCCATGCATGCCAAGCAGCGACCTTAGGTATTAAAAACTTCCTCCCCCTGAAAATCTAAAAGTCAAACGAGAATAGCACTACAGCACACACACACACAAACCTCAGCGCAAACACACTCTCACATGCATAAGCCCACAAATTCATGTAGTGCGAGAGCCTGAATACAATAACCCCCTGTGTGGGTCGTTAACTGTTGTCTGGCTGGCGGTGGATTTGTTTATATGCTTCATAACCGGGTTGCAGTTAGTCGAACTTGAGAGCATCGAGTCCAAAGTGTACTGACTGGACAGGGGTGTTAATAATAGATGACGGAGTAACTTTCGCCCCGCAGCATTATAAGTTCATGCAGTGGATCACGGTAACTACAGCATTTGATCTGTGAAGGAGTGTCTGCGTGCTATCATCCCAGTGTTTCTTTAATACATACATACATACATATATTTAAAAGTGTGTTCATGCTTTATTGTGCATACAGGCAGAATGTGTGTTTGTGTTGCACGAGGAAGCTCATTTTATACCATATGTATATACGGGGACACAGCTGCATGCACAAGCCTAAATGCGAGAGAGCCACTATTATGTGTGAGTGCGTTCTTCATCATAATTACGGGGATAAATCTTCTCACAGAGTCACATTACGGGGCCTCACCTGCCCATTGGGAACGGGGAAAAAAAAGAGCAGGTTCCCGCAAGGTCAGTTTATTTTAGGATGCGAAGACTATGTTTCAGAGTCGAGAACACAGTTATGTCAATTACGCTTAAGTACAGGTGAGGGTAAAGACATATTGGGGTTCTGGCTATAGTTAGGATGAGCGACAAGCGGAGTGAGCGAGCTTTTTATAGCGCTTTTCAAAAGAGCGTTACAGAGGAGGGAAAACAAACAGGGAGAAAAAAAACTTGAAAGTATAATTAAAACAAAGATTTAAAAGTGATCTTGCAAGATCAAGAAGAAAGCATTTTAAGTTGCTTTTCAAAAAACAAAAAAAATCCACAGGGAATGAATGAAAGGCAACACAAAAGGCCTCACAATAAAAACAAGTACCTTCAATGGCGAACGGCTTCCCCACGGTGAGCAGTTTGCAGTCTGCGTCGATGGAGACCTCAAAGTCCAACAGGGCTTTATCCATGATGAACGCATCCAGGGTAGGAGGATCTGTCCTTCACCACCAGCAACACACATGAACACACACACATCACAAGACACAAAGAGAAGCATTAATTAAAGACAGCTACTTTCATAAAAGACTTTTAAATCAGATTTGCTTTTTTTTTCTTCTTCTTCTTCTCCGGACCTGTTACGGGAACCCCGCATATGGAGCTGTCATCCCACTTTGTCATTTATATAGAGGATGAGATTAGCTGCATTTTAATACACTATGTAAACACATACATCATTACCTAAACCAACAGCCTCTGTGGCAGACCGATAAGGCATTATATACACACTGCAGGAGACTCCTACTCTTGCGGTATCGATCCAATTGACCCAAATTGACCCCTAATTACAGACTGTTCCTCTGTGTTTAGCCGCTGACAACAAATGGCAGCAGGCATTTTCTAGGATATGAAGCCTGGGACGCAGTTTCTGAATAACATACCTTCACACAAACACTGACGAAGACGACTGGTTGACTCATATTTGAATGCATACAAGCCTTAAACGCGTGCACTCGGAAAAAGCACACCCACATATAAGTCAGTCTAATGGGAAAAATAGTCGAGACTGATCAAATTACCCCAAACTTGTTGTTATTCAGGACGTCTGCAGCTAAACAAAAGGTTGACTTTACAAAGTCTTTGCTGTGCTGGCAAAGCAGGAAAGTCTGTTTTTCCTCTGTCTAGACCTGTCAAAACCGAGGCACAGGGAGAAAAGAGAGGATAGAGACTTCTTTTGGCACTAAAGAGGGTCGAAAGTTATCCGATGCATGGCCTTGGAATAAGAGCAGAGGGGGTGCACGCTGGTGCATCAAAGTGCACAGACACAACAGTGAGTTTTAAGCCTGTGTATAGGTATGTGCTTGAGCATGCATTATTTTCCTCTGAGCCTCTACATTTGTGTGCAGCTGCATGTGTAGCCCGCGGCGCTCTATCTCTCCAGGAGAAGGCTCAGGAGTTGTTTTTTTTTCCTTCCCTTCCCTTTTTCCCTTCTTCTCTAAGATTTGAGCGCAGTATTGGGGTCAGTAGTTCTGCCAACACAGTATTTTACAGCCTCACTCTCTGCACCGCTGTGACTTCCACTTCTGCTTCGCCTCGCACCCAAACAAACGCCGCCTTCATCTGCGCTGTTCTCATCCTCTTTTTCTGAACAAGCGCTTTGTATCTTCCCTCTTCTATCACAAAGTCAGCACATGCACTATCTCGGTATCTCTGCTGGTGCTCTCTGGTTGAGGCATTGTGTCGGGGAAGCGTGTGTGGTAGGAGCTGCTGTGTTTAGTGCAGTATGTGGCCGGGTAAGTCCGCCTGCTTTTCATGTCAAGTTTTAAACACCTAATACAAAAAATTTCAGTCCGAACTTCCCTTTTTTTTTTTTTCCTGTTATAAACCAATTTATTCCATCAAAAGATAAACTGCGTGGAGCGACGAGAGGCCTCATCAGCGTTTGTTTACATACACTCTGTGATCGCTCCTCTTCAACTCGAGATAAGTAGTAGTTAAAAAAATAGGATGATTAAGGATGTAATCATGAGGACATCTACAGGTGCAAAAAAAAAGAAAAAAGAAGAAAGCTGGAAGTCAGACACCGCTAACGTGAGGGATAAATATACCGTCGCTCACATCCTCCAGATGGAGAATAATCAGATGGAGAAGCTAAATCCAGAAGACAAAAACAGTTTGGGCTGCCAGAAAACCAAAGTGGGTTCATTCTCAACTGCTTAATTAAGACAGCTGGTATAGAAATAATGGATTGGGGAGATGTGGAGGAGTAGAGGGCGACGATTTTTTTAACATGTTCCAAGTCAATTTCATGTCTAAAATCGACATAAATGGATATAACAGTGGTGTGAACATGTGGTAATCTGTATTCGTACCACTCAGCCGGCTAACAGTTCAAACCAAAACTTGAAAAAGACACATTTAGTGACTCCATTTATGCTCCACAAAAGCTGGGGCAAACTTCCAGTACATAAACACTTCCCCCATCTTGGACTACTTTTATAACAAGGCTCTAAACCTTTATTTTCTCCACTTACTTTGCCCACTGCCTTGATTTTTAAGGTTTCACTTATTACTTTTAAAGCCCTTCATGGTCCGGCCCCTGAATATATATATATATATATATAATCGGAGCTGCTGTCCCTTTACCAACCACCTCACGTTCGCTCGCTGTTCCCACCTCAAAGACAAAAAGGGGACCAGGCGTTGGGGCTGCTCAGCTGTGCAGCAACCTGCCTGAGGAACTCCGGCTCGCTACGCCCGCAATCTTCTTCTAAAATCACTGTTTTTATATGGAAAGGCTTCCCCTTTAAAATTTTTTTTTTTTCCCCCAACCTTAAATTGCTCAATTTTCAGATTAAATTCACCTTTTTTGTTTTCCATATTTTATCCTTGGTGTTTTATTCATGCTTTTTAAATCATCCACTGTTTAAAGTTTTATCCCTCTTTTTTTTTCTTTTTGCCTGTTTATTCATTCATGAGACAATTTGTAATGCTGGTTTTGATAAGTGCCACACAAATAAACTTTATTATTGTTGTGATTATTTCAGTGAACCTTAACCGTCCCGAATTTCTGCTGCGTTGGCACGTACTGTTTTTGTTTCTCTTAAAATTCTTTGTGTTTTTTCGATACCTCCCGTTGTATCTCCTTTTTCATGTTTTAATGCATTATGTAAAGCACTTTTCACTTGCCTTTGTGGATTCAATGCGCTATAAAAATAAACTTGCCTTGCCTCCTTGCTTTCATCTGCTCACTGTCCCCATTCGACAACTCATTGAGCCATTCATCCACAGATTTCATTACATCAGTGTGTCCCTGACCCTTATTCGTTCCTACATTCTCATTTCAATAAAGAAAACGATTTCCGCTCATAAATTTTTTTTTGGCAATTTGGTAATGAAATTTATGTAATTCATCTGCTTTTACTTCTCTTGCGTTAAAAATGTGTCTGGGTAAGGAGAAGCTCGCGCTAATGCGGGGTGTAAATACATGCGGCTCGAGCAATGAGTATTCGTGCGTATCTCTGTCAGAAGCAATTCCAAAACAGTGTCTTCTCTATAATAAGAAAACATTGATAAATGGGTTAGACACAACATCACTGCAGGTGGAAAAAAAAAGGAAAAAAAAGGAGCCAAAATCAGCCCCGAAGCGGCACTTGCATTCACTTCAGCTCAAGTCTTTGCTGTTGAACTTAAAATTCAAAGTGAGTCGGTAGTATACGAGCAAAAATAACACATGCAAATTAAATTTTTCCTAAATATGTGGTAGTTTCTCTATTAGAATTAAGCCTGATGGCCGTGAATCTGCAGTGTATACTGATGTTGTCAGCCGACGCAATTGTTATGCACAGTACGCATGAGAAATAAGTGCGCAGAATACAGACAGCTAAAGATACAAGATGCAAACGTGACTGGATTCTTTAGGTCTGGGTTGCATTTTAATGAAGGTGATTTGGTGCATTTTTTTTACAAATGCATGTCGCATGCATGGAGGCGCTCGTGGCTTACTTTAACATGTGCACGCCCTCCGGGGTCGTGGGCTGGTTGAAGCGCCTCATGTAGTCGTGCATCTCCGGGAAGCTCTTCTTCATGTAGTCCTCGGCGCTGCTCTCCCTCACCGTCCCAAAACGGAAACCCAGGGAGGGATGGTGCAGCTGGGAGAGGGTGAGGATGGAGGTGATGAAGAAAGAGACAGAGAGATGGAGGGGAGGGAGGCGGACATCATGATGTGGCTCATGTCAAATTCACCGTAGCCCTGAACTCCCGCAAGGGTTTAGAGATACGGAAAGAGATAATCCTTCACAAATAATTCCGCTCTTTACTCATTAGCTCGTCCTTGTGCGAGATTAGGTTGTGTGTACATGTGTGGGGTTCGTGTGGCGCGCCGACGTTCGTGCAAGTTGCAAGTTGTGCGTCCTTGCGTGCGGCCCTGACCTTGTCGTCGTGAATCCCTGAAACTTGCTCGAAGGTCTTCTCCCCGACCATGACTGCAGCCAGGTTTGCGGTGTAGCTCGACAGCACCAGTAAGCAGAAGATGGCCCAGAGGTTCATGAGGAAGCGCCCCGTCCAGCATTTAGGAGTCTGCAGAGCGGAGACACGCGGAGTTTATTGTTTTGTCTAATTATTGGCACATAAAAATAATTAAACAGATCTGAAGGAGGCTAAAAATAGCAGATCCTCATCGATGCTATAAATATCTTGGCAACAAATGAAAAAACTGTCACGATGTCAAGACAGAAAGTGAAACAACAAACAAACATGGAGGAGATAATAAATAATACATAAGGGCAAAGGGTTAGAACAAATAAAAATAAATAAATGCTGACATAAACACAGAAGCTCCCCAGACACCTAATTTAACCCCCAACTAATCAGGTTAATCAAAACAGACCAAAAAACACAATAGATCTAATGCAAAAGATAAAATCTAACAACTGTGCGTCACATCAGAAACGTCTTTCCACGAAACCGTCCGCTTCGGGGACCGAATCACCCGAACGGTGTGATCATTTATTTATCCCACCAATTAAAACCCACTTAAGAGAAGAAAAAGAGATGAATTTCCAGTGTTTTAAAGGCTTGAGATTAATGAGACATTAATTATACAAACAAGGTTGTAACCCGTTATTACTAAAGGTGTTCGGAGCGTTTCCAGCTCTCAGCATAATTAGCTGGTGAACTGGAAAAGAGAGAAAGAGGGATCATAGAAGAGAAGAACCAATTCCTCAGTAATATTGTTTTGGGGAAGAAATACGATTGTATATGGATGTCCTCTTTGCACAAGATGTAATGATCAGGGCGCCTTTGGTTCACATGTCTTATCTATACAAGGTAATTCATTTCACATGGAGACTACAAATGATCCTTTACGGAAAAATGAGATAAACACCACATCTGCTTTCACATGAAGTGCGTCTGGATGCCTGTTGTTATGCGCGTCAGGCTTACGGTTCCATACGCAGCTGAAAACGATAACAAGAGCAGACGTAACGCACGAAATTGTGAGTAATTTAAGAAATAAGAGGCCCCTCGACTTCACAGCGAAGCAGACAGAAGCGGGCTTCCAACTCCTGAGGTGCTCGAGAAGCTGCGTCCGGCTGACTTTTTGTGCCGTTTCTAGCTGACTGGTTTTGAAACTTTTTGTAAAATAGGTCTCATTCAAAGTATGAATTTGATGGCTAAGCTGCATTTTCCTGGACAGAAAGTCGGTAGCCATCAAAGTTGATGGTGCATGTAGGGGGAAAAAAAATATAAAGTACTGTTCAACGTAAAGCTCGTCAAGTATGACTTGAAAAAGCGCTGACAGTTTGACAGCTCAGTCTATATACTTGTTTGTATTCTCAAATGTTTTCGCTTTTCATCAGGGGATAAAAAAAAAGGGAAAAGAAAAGAAGATGATGTGCTATCTTTTTGGCCGGGTTTGCTGGAGTCTAAAAAATCAAAACACATTAAGTGCAGGACGGGGATGCTAATGTCAGATTTAAACTCTGAGAGCATCCAGGACCAGCCTCCTGCTCAGTGGGGAAAACCCACACAGCATATGTGCTAGTTGTGAATGGAAGCGTGATGCTCCTTGGCCTTGGAAGTAATGCTCAATTACTGCTGTGTATAGTAGCCAGATGCTAAGGATAACAGCACGTGCTCGAGCAGCTTTCTGGAAACCTCACACCTCTGCTCGACAGAACGGTGGAAAACAGTCAAAAAATCGTTTTAGTTACTAAATCAAATATTAAAAACTGACCTCTTCAACAATCCGTTTAGATGCCCCTGCCTTCCTCCCTTCCCCGATGCCTGAATAAACATCCCCGCTTGGCTCTGACCCAACGCACGGAGGTTCATAGTGTTGCTCAAGGACATTTAAACAGGTCACAAGGCTGCTAATGAACACAACCTGTTAACTGACATATTGCCAGTCGCAGGGATCAAACCCGCGACCTTTCACTCACGGGAAGGTCTTTCTAATCACTTGGCCTCCGTCCCTTTCGAAGTCATTTGCCTCCTTTAGGGACAAAGTGTGATTACGCATTCCAAGAAATATTGCTGCGCAGTCACTAAGAGGACAGAAATAATGGAAAATTTGACCATGAGTTATCATAACGCTGCGTTGTGTAACAGTGCGGCGCTTGTACACGAAAGCAAAGAGTTGTTTTTCATCCGCGCTGTGGTCGGCTTTGTGCACCAGTGTGACTGTGGGTGTGACGCAATCTGTCAAATGTGACATGTTTATGAAGAATGCCGCCGCCGCGAAGATACATTTAATATCTTTACGTTTTTATACCAAACAAATGACGGGGAAATAGGATGATTTTTTAACTCTGAAGGGAAGGAGATTGTTTATCAAGTGGTGAGACAAATTTGCCTAACTCAGAGGACTTCTCCGCCATCCGTCTTCAGCAGTCACATTCCTCTCTCGCGCCCTCCTCTCTTCGCCCTACGTCACCCTCCATGTGCCGCCTCTCGTCTCCGCTTCCCCACTTACCCTCTCGACCCCCGTCTTTCCCTCAGCCGTCCTATTACCGTCCTTTGAAACCCATTCCCCAATTCGCCCTCTCACCTTCCCACCTCCCTCCGTTGTCTACCCCCCCCACTCTTCGCTTTCTTATCTTCAACTTTGCCTACACTGGGGAGTTAACCTCGGCTCGCTCCCTCTTTTACCACCTTCATCCATCCCCATCATCCTCACTGTAGCTCCCTGAGTCTCGCTTGCCCTTTCCCCCCCTCCTTTCCCTCCCTGTATGTGCATCATCCTCGCTGCACCTTTCCACTTCATCACTGCCGAGCTTCTTAACCTCCCCCCTATCCGTCTTCCCTCCTCTCTGGCCATCTCTATCATCTTTCTGCACCTTCCTTCCTCTCCCACCTTCCGGCTCGCCCTTGCTGTTTGTGTACTCTATCGCCCTTTCCCTCCCCTTTCTATTTCTATTTGGCGCCCTACCTCGTAAGCGATGGCTATCTATCACAGACAGGGAGAGCCGCTTTACCTTGGTGGCGACGGTGCGTCCGAACAATATGGCGTAGCAGAGGTTGAGGGCGGAGGAGTAGGAGAACACACGCAGCCTGTTCCTGCCGTGCGGCGTCATGCCGAAGGGGCTGTTCCACTCGTACAGGGTGAGGAAGAGCGCCGTGAGATGCAGCGTGACGAAGATGCCCACCCACATGGACCAGTGCAGGGGCCACATGAAGGCCCCGATGGGAGCGGCGGTGTCCCGGCTGCGAACCTGGCAGGTCACAAACAAACAAAGAAAGAAACTTGACACAGCTGATTGCTAATCTGCACATGCATTTGCATTTGGTGTAAACTGTGATTATAATTCTCCCTCCAGTCTGCAGCGTCTTGTTAGCGAACTTCTCTTACGCACTCCTAGGCATAATTAGTTTTTTAAGAAATGCATACATTGTTTTTATTCTGTGCTATTCATCATTTTGTTGGGGCAAGAAATCACTTTTTTTCCCCCCTTTATCGAATGATGGAGTTCTCATTTTCAAATGGATTGTCAGATCATATTATGCATTGCGGTTTGTCAGCCACAGAGGGAGATGTTAACAAATCGTCGAATAGCAACAGCAGCCTGTTTGAGGAACTCGGCTACGACGGCCTCACGAAATGCCTCTCAGACTCATTATACAGTCCTAAACTGCCTCTCATTTTAAACTTTCATAATTACCGTGCCCACTGAAAACTCTACAAACTAATTACGCCTCAATTAATGATCTTCCTGACCCTCACCAGAAGACCCGGGTGACGAGGGCAGAACGAAGCAGCTGCGCGCGATATCAGCAAATCACACTGAAGCAGCGTCAGGGAGGGAGATTGACAAATCAAAGTAACGCTGAAGACTGCAGTGCTGTCACTGAGTCACAGTGCGGGGTATATTTTCAGGACATGCCCCGTGTCTCCTGCAGTCATGAAAATGCAAAGTCGAGAACTCCGACAAACTAATGATGACTTGAAGCGGACCGTACCAGAATGCCCAGGCTGGTGGAGTAGAAGGGCGAGGTGAAATCTATGACTCTGCTCCTGGCAGAGTTGATGGAAAAAGAGGTCACGGCCATGTCAGCGGTTCCACTCAGGAGGTCCCCGACGAGTCCCGTCCAGCGTCCCGTCCCGCTCAAAGCCCCGTACTTCCCGTCTCCAACAATGTAAAGGTCAAAGGTGAAGCCCATGTCTTCGGCCAGCTTCTCCAGCAGGTCGATGCAGTAGCCGTAGCAGCACTTTCTCAGGTCCTCCGGCAGGTCTGAGAGGGGAAGAAGCCATAATAATGATGTGAAATGTATGTAAATTCATATGCGTGCTCGGGAAGTGGAGGGACTGCAGCTGTGGGAATTTGTCCACAACTGACTTTAGATCGTGAAAAATGTTGATGGATCCTCGCAGGACACTTCGGCTTGAACATTTTTAACGACCCTGGCACCCAGACTAGGACTGCATTTATTCTCATTAAATCCTGGCAAAAAAAAAACTTAACAACCCCTGAACTACAAATAAAAAAAAGAGTAAAGCTGGCAAGATGAAGCAGGGATGCCAAATTATCCATTTTACACTTCTTGACATTTTTGATTTTTCTGGCAAACCTTTTTTTTGCAATCTCAGTTAATTGAAATTAGCCAATTGCTCTTGCTTGGCAAAAAGTCTGCACAAGTTCCACCCAAAAACCGACATATTTTGCACCGTATTTAAAGGGGACACAACCTCTTTTTTTTTTCACAAATAACCCTACAGTTCTTTAATCATGAGCCACTAAATCAAAATTTCCTTAATTTCCTTGATTCCTGCACCATCTTGGGATCAAACGCCAACTTCTGTTCGTCTTCTTCCAGTTTCAGTCTGCTGATTCAAATAAAAGAAAGTTAGAATGACTTTTATTTTACTGCTATGCTGCGGACTCTGCGTATAGTTGCCCATTAATCCCCTTAGTCAAAGAAATATAGTACCTGGTACATCTCTGACACAGTATCCTTGTTCTCTTATTGATTTAATGTCTTTCATACTCTTCATTCATAAAACGGAGATGTAGCTGTAGAGCTGAGCCCTTGACATCGTACCTGATGTATTTTTGAACTAGACTGACCAGCTATGATCCCACATTGATTACTCTTCAAAAATCCACTTCAGGTTTGAGGAGGTGCAGCAGAGACGTGGTCAGTCACGTACCACTGAGATCTGAGAAAGCAGATCTAAGTGTTTACACAGGAGAGGCTGGGAGTTTAGGTGAATTAGAAGTCATGGATGTCCTACTGCGGGTTATGTTTTCTGACTGGTGCTACAGGAGTTTTAACGGCACTGAAACACGGGATTCTACGGATAATCGTCAAAACAACACTCACCGTTGCCCTCCCAGTCCGTTGTTGTACTGTTTGGGTTGTGCAGCTGGTTGAAGAGGCCCTGTATGATGTCGGACCTGTTGGTTCTGGGATCCAGACAGAGCTGACCAGCCGGACACAATCCGTCCTCATCCACCTCCCGCGTGAAGACAAACGGGTGCTCCACCAGCGTCACCACCCTGAGGCGGTGTCCCTCAACGGACATCCCGGGCCTCCAGCGACCCCCGGCGCTGCTGTCCCCCTGGCCGTCCCCTCCCCTCACCCCGGCTCCGAGGCCTTGCCCCTGGCTGCTCCCGAGCCCTCCCACCAGTCCCAGGACGCCCCCCTCCAGCTCCAGTCGGCCTCGGGTCCACTGGCCGACAGTAACCCAGGCCGGCTGCCCCAGAGCGCCTCTCTTCAGGCTCCACACGTGGAACAGCTGCGAGGAGAGGACCCGAGAGACGCTGGCGTCCACCTGGATCAGGCCTGTGGCCCCGGTGAAGGAAGTGTTGGAGAGAAACCTCAAGGGAAAGAGAAAAAAAGAGCAGACAATAAGGGAGAGACAACAAATCTGAGAACGGTGCTGCAGCTTAGAAATCTAGGCTGCTATAATAAACACTAAAATAGCCACATGAAAAAAAAGCAGTTAAAAAGTTACAAACGCTGGTGCAATGCATGGGCAGTCTGGTCGGGAGCTTTAGCAAGGCTAGTCTCAAATGGGCAATTGCAACTCCCAGAAAGTCATAATTAAAAGTTAATGCAGTGCAGTGAGGGTCTCCTCCTATCTGGCAGTTCATACAGACAGTCATTGCTATTCGTCTCACTCGCCTGGTGGCCCAGCATTGGTCTTTACGGTGGAATACATTAGGAAGAGCAATCCCCGTTCGCACATAAATCTGCCCTGGCCTCTTGAACCAAGCAAGGATTGTTAGCTCATGTCTTAGCGTTCCATCATGCGGACGTCGTCAGGTGATGTGTCAGCGTGAAGCCATACAAGTACTGTTTGAACATGTCTTGATTAGCGAGGGGGATTGTCGGGAGGTCATTGTAAATCATAGGGGTGGTTGTTTAAATGTTAAAGTATGCAGGGATCACTGCATTCGGTATGGTTGTTGAACCGTGCGGAGACTGTTGATGATGTCTGGGTCAAGGCTGGAAATGGAGAGTTTTTCTTCCCGATAATGGAAAAGGGTGGTTGAGCTGGAGCCCTTTCTCAGAACAAGAAGAAAAAATAAAAAAGCTTCCCCCTCGTGCTCTTTCCTCTGTTCTCTCTTTTTTTCCCTCTTTCTCTCATTTCCAAGTTATATGCATGAACTGATGAGCTTAGATAGCAGCGGCTGCCGGAGAACTTTCCACATTAAATATGGGATACGAGAAGGATAATGAAAAGACTAAATTGATCATGTGGGTCATAAACCTTTCCCTTTAAGCCTGGCCTGAACTAAACCCGTCTGCACTGTGCACAGGATGACACAACAGGTGAATGTACGTCAGGTTTTTATGTGTTGTGCACTTGTGCATCGCTGCCCTATAGCTTCACGCCGTGATTTACTTCCACGCTAGTCGAGAGAAGCTGATTAAAAACGCCTCTGATTTGAAAGGCATTCCCATCGCGGCCCACATTAACTTATGTTTCCTCATCAGCAGCTCCCTCTGTCTCTGTGACCATAAAGCGGAAGTGCTAGCCTTGCCTTGAGCTGAAATCACTCATGGTTAATAGCACGGCTGAATCATCATATCCAACAGACAGCAGATTCATCAACCCACTCCAGACTCATGCGGTAATAGCTACGGCTGGCCACAAAGAGAAATTAAGCGTACAGTGAGCTTCACTTTACATCTCTTATCTAAGCAGAAAAGTGCCAAAGCCTCCTCCCGTCTCATTGTTTGTGACATGTTTGGATCCGTGCCCGAAGATAAGATACGAGTAACGCGGCGATAAGGGGGCGGGGTGGGGGAAAGTGCGGCACACTTTCAAGCGGTGCCACCTTTTAGTTATGGGTCCTGCGGGTTTGTTGTGTTGCATCGGGGGCCGGAGGCTGCACTTAAAGAATGACTGTGGACGTCGAAGCAGGTTGATAAGTCTGCCAGCGGTGTCAGAGAGGGATGGCTTCCTCTCACTAACACCTGGCCCTCGGTTTACACGCTCAGAGTAAATGTCAGCAGAGTGGCCGGTAAATGATGACTCTATAAAAGAGACCCAGGCATGTGTCTTAGTCTCTTATCACTCCATCTCCTTTAGTTTGGGGAGGAAAGTTTACTCCCTCCGTCTTTTTTTTTTCTTTCTTTTCCGTCTGTCTGTCGGGGATGATACGCGGCTTGCTTGTTTCAATGGTTTTAATCTCTTCGGGGGGAGATGGAATCAGCGTGGCAGCTGTGTCGAGTGAGATGGCACTGACTGGCAGATCTCACTCCGATAACAACAAACCCTCTATCTGCTCCCCTCCCTCCTTGTCCCCTTTTCTCCGCCCTCACATCCTTTACCATACAAGGTTTTTCCTTCCTTTTTCCTTTGACTTTATTCCTACTTTTCCTTTAGCTGTTTCCTCCTTCCTCTGGCTTTCATCTATCTGTTTCGTCTTTGACCACCTTCTTCTGGCTCTCTAATGTATTTTTGGGAATAAGCATCCAGGGAGTTTCTGATTCTGGACATTTGGAAGAACAACATCAAAAGTGGGCAGTTGCTCGTATGTTTTTTTTTCTTTACTCCGGTTTCATCCTCATTGCACCACTGCTTTGAATCTGTAACAGTAATATTCTGCTTTCCCCCCCTCCCTCTCCTTCATACCTTCCTTACTTGCTGATATCTCCAGACATCCCCTCTCCCTGCCTGCCTTCCTCGCTCTGTCCCTTGGGCATTGAGCTGTTAATTGCCTTTTCCATGTGGAAGTCTCTCACTTCCTTCAGCTTTGTTAGAGCTCTCCAGAGCAATGGCGTGTCTGGCTGTTGCAGGGGAGGGATAAGAATCGGGGAGTACACTGGAGAGCGAGGAGTCGAACAGCAAAAGGTTTGAATGGTGCGATAGAACGACCCCTTTTTATCGGTCTCTCGCAGGCCACGAACAAAGGTCACTGACACCGTATTGGGGAGACTCTATTATAAGTCGTCTGTTCTGATAGTCTAGACTATGTCCTAATTGGACTTCCACAGAAAGACGGACTTTCTCTCGTGTCTTTATGAAGTTTAAAAACCTTACTTCGTTTGGTGTTAAAAGTACGACATTTGAGTCTACGGCCATGTAAAGCTCTGCTTAGACTCAGCGGCACTTTCCTAAAATGAGCATTCTGATATGCTCACAATAATAACGTTAACATAATGTTAATTTAGTAGGTATAATATTCATCAATCTTAGTTTAGCACTAAGCCCTAGAAACTCATCTCTATGTATCAAAGTTACATATTTAGTTTTTATCCAGGAAAATAATCCCTTTACGCCTTAAAATGGCTTCGATGTAACTTTGCATCTCCATTAAGAAAATGCATCTAAGCACACCAGCTCACCGACGGCTCAGCTCAAACGCTGCAAAGATACTCTGCACCAGTGGTCCCCAACCACCGGGTCATGGACCAGTACCAGGCCGTGGGTCGTTTGGTACTGGGCCGCACAGAAAGACTGACAACGTTGTGTTGGTTTATTTTAATATCGGGGGACTCTGCGGTTGTTTTATTTTGAAAAATGACTAATTATTCTTCACGTCACTTCCGCCTGTGCTTGTTCACCACATTTGACTCTGTCGGTTTTCATGTTCGGCCGTTAAACGGACCAGTCAATCTAACCGCGGATAAAATGAACTAAAAAAACAAACTTGGCAGGGGGGCTTCTTTGAAAAGAGACTCGATGCTGAGACAGAAGAAAAAGTAAATACATCGTTAGCAATAAAAAGTAATTTTATTCGTTTATGACATTTTTTCATTCTCATAGTTTAATCATAGCTGGACTTGCTTGAGTTTCTTTTCAATTTTCAATTCAGTTCAATTCAATTTTATTTGTATAGCGCATATTTACAACAACAGTCATCTCATAGCGCTTAACAAAGGCAGAGACAGAAACACCCAACAATCCAAAACATCTGGATTCCCTATAAGCTTCAGCAGTTCTTGAGGATGTTTCATCTCTCATCCAAGAGGTCTCATCAGTTCTGACTGGATAAGAGGTGAAGAAGAAACTCAAACAAGTCCAGTTGCTACGATTAAACTATGAGAATAACCATGACCTGGATGACTGAGAATCTTCACAGACATGACACTTTTTTGGGAGTAAAAACGATTATTATTTGTTATGTGCGTGAAAACCGGTCCGTAGAAAATTGTCTAGCTTGTCCGTGGTGCAAAAAAGGTTGGGGATCTCTGCTCTACGCTACACAATGGCAAGTTGTAGCTGCATTTGAGTTGGAAGCTGATTCTGAAGAGACAGAATGATTCAGATTTCTTAGGTTTGTTACGCATAAAACCCCAGAAATCTGAATCCATGTGTTTGAGACTGGCATTCATACAATGCAGCTTCAGTGTGGAAATGCTCAGCCATGGTGTTAACTACGCATTTTGCTCATGACATATCTTCCCGCATATTAAAAAAAAAACACCATATGGATATGTTAACAAGCCTCCCAAACTTGATTTTCACCAGAGGGGGTCTTTAAGATTCACTAATTATCCCTAGAACACAGTGCAATTGAGGGTTATTAATTTGCAGATCGTAAACCCGAGTACAACAGCGAGTTTAATAAATTACGTTTCTGACCTGATGATGGCACCAGATTGAATTTTAATGGATCACCAAAGATGTTCCTTCAGAGGAAATAGAACATTTCATGGCAGTAGGTGTCAACATCATTCGCTACAGGAGAAGCGAACCGATTACCTCTGGGAACCATGAACGTCTGTGCAAAAGTTTAAATCCATCAAAATAATTCAGTGTTAAACAAAGCGTTGGACAGACTGACAGACAGACTTTGCATGTTTAAAAAATAGCAAGTTATTCACGCTAATCCCAATAAAGTTGTTTTTTTTAACTGGAACACAATGAATGTCCTACAACGTCGCTTTGTAACACGCCTCTCACTCCGCTTGTTTCAGCCTCTGGCCCGCCGTGCCCAATGGTTCTGGCATCCCAGCGCTCAACTAAAACTGCAGAGGAAAAAGAGAGAGCACAGCAAGAATCCAGCTTGTGATTATGTGGGTGTTGTTGATGATCACTCTCAGCTGGCAGGCACCGTGTGTGCTCAATATTTGCTGTGGGCCCATCTCCGACTGCAAATCCTTCTCTCACCAGTACCACATGACCACCCAAGTTGGCTGCACGCTGTTTTATCCATTGTGCAATTTGAGGAATATCCATGTCAACTGGCAGAGCAAAAATATTTAAGTGAGTTTATAGCACGGGGCTCCAGTGAATCACGCAGCATCAGCCACACATGGCTTAAGAGGGTTTCTAAAGTATGTGAGTGTGACGGGTATTTTCCTGTGTCCAAACCTGAGGATTAACATTTTTTTTTTCTGATTTAAGTGAAAACATTTAAGG